TCCCTTTCTCACAATACAAGAACTAGTGAGCACTCCATGAAACTGCAGAGCGGTCGGGTTAGAACGGATAAAAGGAAGTACTTCTTCACCCAAAGAGTGATTCACACATGGAATTCACTGCCACAGGAGGTGGCGGCAGCTACAAGCATGGATGGCTTCAAGAGGGAACTGGATAAACGTATGGAGCAGAGGTCCATCAGTAGCTATTAGCCACAAGGTATAGATAGGGACTCTCAGTCTGGGGCAAGTGATGCTCTGTATTCTCGGTGCTTGGGGGGGGGGTCAACAGTGGGAGGGCTTCTAGCGTCCTGGCCCCACTGCTGGACCTCCTGATGGCCCCTGGTGTTTTTGGCCACTGTGTGACACAGAGTGTTGGATTGGATGGGCCACTGGCCTGATCCAACATTGGCTTCTCTCATGTTCTTATGAGTAAAGTTCTACTTTCTGAGCTCCTGGCATTAAAGTTGTGAGCGTGGGAATTGGCTACTGCATCAGTTAGTTTGCTCTGGAGCCCTCCTTCCTGAGCGAAGACAAAAACGTGTGAGCCGGAGGCTAAAAAACTGTGAGCTAGCTCACACTAACTCACCTTAGAGGGAACACTGGAGGGACCACTCCCCCCAGATACTCTGGACCTCCAGATACCCTGGATCTGGGCTACTTAGGCCTTTCCAAAACAAACAACCCCACCCCTTTGAATTGGGCCTGGGAACAACCAGAGAAGCAATTCGGATCTTTGAAAACAGGAGTACTGGAACCTCCATGTCCAGGGGCAGCGTACCTTTGATTCCCAGATGCTGGGGGAGAAGCAAAGGAGGACCGTTTCCACCCCCAGTCCAACTTTCTCGGAGGCACCTGATTGACCAGTTCCAGAAACAGAACGCTGGAGCAGACAGGCCTTTGCCTCCTGCACCAAAGCTGTTTACATAGACCAAGAGAGGTCGGAACGACTAAAGACAGCCACAAAGAAAGGCCGGGCTGGCCACAGTCACTCACTTCTCCGTGAACTCCAGGACCTGCTTGGTGGTGGTTCGAGCCACCGTCTGGATTTCAGGCACCCCTTGGCAGTGGTAAGAGTTGCCACAATGGGCGTAGACCCCCGCTAACTCCGTAGGGCCCGCTGCAATCGCCTGGGCCAGTTCGAGGGCCGCTGGGTCGGCATGCCTTAAGCCGGCTGGAAATAAAAGACCGAAAAAATGGGGTCAGCAAAAGTACGTGGCGTCAGTTCTGCTCATGTATGGTTCCTAGAGTGTAGAACAGGGGTGTCAAACATGCGGCCCAGGGGCCACATCAGGCCCCCGGAGGGCTTCTAAGAGGCCCGCAGTGGAACTGGCTGTCTTCTGCTTCTTCTTCCAGTTCTGCGGCTGCTGCGTCATCGTAGGTTTGCAACTTACTAATACACACCTGAACAGCATACTCAAGATTGCAACAGCACAGACATTTTGATGCAGTAATTCAGAACAAGAGGTGTCAGTTACCAGGCACTGTTAAATAAACAAAATACTGCAAGAGTGCCGACGTTTTAAGCATGTTTTTATTTTAAGTAAAAGAAAAAACCCATTTGTGTTTGTGTCCTTTATAAAATTGATATCCCCACTACCTGGCATTACCTTTTATGACACATGTGGCCCGGCCCAACACGGTCCCATTTATGTCAGATCTGGCCCTCATAACAAATGAGTTCGACCCCCCTGGTGTAGAACGTTGCTGTTCAGTAGGCAGTGCAATGGGGCATAGTGCCATCTCGTGGCAGGTGTGGGCATAACCCTTGCTGGATGAGATAAGAGTCCAGTCCAGCAGCAAGTTTTTCAAGGCATAAACTTTGGAGAGTCAAACCTCCCTTTGTCAGATAAAACTCCAACTTGTATCTGACGAAGGGAGCTTTGACTCTTTAAAGGCTATACCCCCCCCCCAAATTTTGTTGGCCCCTAAGGCGCTACTAGACCCCTATAAGCAGATGAGACCTTATTTTTCTTTTTAATTTGTTGTTGAGTCGCACAGTCGAGTCCGACTCTTCGCGACCCCATGGACCAGCTCCCGCCAGGCCTTCCGGTCTTCCGCCGTCCTCTGAAGTTGGCTCAACTTCATGTTCCTTGCATCTGTCTAACCATCTCATCTCATCCTTTGCCGTCCCCGTCTTCTTTGGCCTTCAATCTTTCTTTTTAATATTTCTCCCCAAATCTTGCCTCCCTCCACAACCCTCTCACTGGTTGCCAGGCACTGGCAGATAACCTTAGCAGCCCTGGTGGGGCAATACGACTTCCTTCCCAGCATGATCTGCCCGTAGCTTTAAAAGGAGATCAGACACATTCACAGAGGAGACCTCTATCAGTGGCTACTAGGAATGGTGGCTAAGGGGAACCCTCCACATCCAGAGGCGCTAAGCCTCTGAATCCCAGAGCCAGAAGGCAACATCAGGGGAAGGCCTCGGCCTCTCTGCCCTGTTGCTGGCCCTCCGGAGGAACTGGTTGGCCCCTGTGTGAGACGGGAGGCTGGACTAGAGGGCCCCTCCCTGGTCTGACCCAGCAGGGCTCTTGAGGTTCTTTGCAGGGGAAGGCCTCGGCCTCTCTGCCCTGTTGCTGGCCCTCCGGAGGAACTGGTTGGCCCCTGTGTGAGACGGGAGGCTGGACTAGAGGGCCCCTCCCTGGTCTGACCCAGCAGGGCTCTTGAGGTTCTTTGCAGGGGAAGGCCTCGGCCTCCCTGCCTTGTTGCTGGCCCTCCGGAGGAACTGGTTGGCCCCTGTGTGAGACGGGAGGCTGGACTAGAGGGACCCTCCCTGGTCTGACCCAGCAGGGCTCTTGAGGTTCTTTGCAGGGGAAGGCCTCGGCCTCCCTGCCCTGTTGCTGGCCCTCCAGAGGAACTGGTTGGCCACCGTGTGAGACGGGAGGCTGGACTAGATGGGCCCTCCCTGGTCCGATCCAGCAGGGCTCTTTGGATGTTCTTACCTCGTCCGTTCTCACAGTCAACCTTCAGCCACACCTTCCAGTGCTTCCCTCCGTGTAACGGCCTCCTCTTCAGCAAGGCCAAGGCTTCGGGGCTGTCCACCAGCACGTGGAAGCTTTCCAGGCGCTCCGTCAGGGCCGCGCACTCATCCACTTTGTCGAAGGGCAGCGGGTAGGCGTAGAGGATGTCGTCAAATCCGCCGTCGGCGAAGAAGCGGGCCTCGGCCAGAGTTGAGACGACGATCTGTCGCCGCGTGCCCCCTGTCATGAGGTCTCCACCCTCCCTGGGAAGGAGTGAGGGGCACAGTTATCAGATGTGGCCAGGAAACAGCTTATCTAAGGGTGCAGAAACACTCAGGTTGCCAACCTCCAGGTGGGGCCTGGAGATCTCCTGAGATTAGAGATGTAAAATTTCCGGAAATTTTGAAGCTCGGGAAAAAAACCCGTTTTTCCCACAGGGTTTTTTTTTTTTTTGG